CCCCAAAACCCCAAAACCCCAAAACCCCAAAAACCCCAAAACCCCAAAACCCCAAAACCCCAAAAATTTATTCAATAATTGAATAAATGTGTGGGAGAGCCCATTGCAAGATTGACCCAAAGATCTTAATGAAGATCTTTAAGTGCAGCCATATCAAGAACCAGGAGAGGTATAGGTATGAGGTTTAGAGGAGATTTATAGACCCACTTTTAATGCAGGGCCTTTTAAACACCTCCCTGTCGCGTATATGAGACAGCAGGAGATAACAGAGAAGGAAATGAAGAGATTTGTGATAGAAGATTTAAAGGAAAAGGAGGATATAGAAGAAGCTGGATTCAAAGCTAATTTTGAAGGTAAAATTCGGGAATTTTGGGGTTTACTTGTTGTAGATGACTCAGAATCAGAAGAAGCAAAGGAAGAATCGAAAGAAGAGCTAAAAGAAGCCTCAGAAAGCAAATTTGGGAAAAGAAGGAAGAGAGATGAAATGGAAAATGACGAAAGAGAAATTCATGAAGAGACTAAAGGGATGAGTCTCGAAGGTATGATGGGTTATCACAACTTTAGTCATGAGATGGGGCATGGTCAGAGCAGATACCAACCAGCCAGTAATCAATTGTAGGTTTGAAGATTGCCTCAAAACGAATATGTTCAGAGGTTTACTCAAAGATTTCAGATGAATCATTACCATCAATGGATACTACGAATGGAAAGTAAATGATAAGGACAAACAACCATTTTATTTATACCCAAAAGAAGGAGAATACTTACAATTAGCAGGACTCTTTAGACCTCAGAGACAGCCAGATGGAACTATTGTTAACAGTTTTGTCATTTGAACCCTTGAAGCAATGGACAATATCAGTTTCATTCATCATAGAATGCCAGTCATCTTGACTCCAGAACTGCAAAAGATTTGGCTTGATCCTACAATCGAACCAAAGACAGTCTTCAGCAAAGTTTGCAGATCCAGCCCAAAAGACATGTTATCCTACTACAAAGTTGCTGACGTTGTCAACAAAATCAAAAATGACAACGAAGACTGCATCATGAAACTCGAAGACTACAAAAAGAAGCTACACAGTCGGGGTCTTGGTAGATTCTTCGGTTTTGCATCCAAAAAGCCGCAAACCTCTGTTGAACCCCCAGTTCCTAACCCTATTACTCAATCCATAAAGCCCACTCAGGCTGTTGCTCCTTTGGAAGCCTCACTCGGTTCGCTTTCCATCACTCCTGTTGCAGAGGCCAGCTTGGCCTCTGCTCAGAACCCGGCTGGTGCTGATCCTTCACAAGCTCCCTCTAGCTCAGATCCTAAGCTAGATAAGAATGAGTCACCAGATCCTGAAGATGTGGGAGTTCCTTTACGTCTACATAGAGGAAAGAAGGAGATAAAAGCTAAGAAATTTATGAGTAAGAAGGAAATAGAGAAGAAGGAAAACCAACAAGTGAGGCGTTCTAAAAGAGTTAAGGTGCAGAATAATAAATTAGATGACCTCCTTGTGAAATTACCAAAGAAGAAGTAATTTCCGATAAATTCTGAAAGATATAATTTCAAATTCACTCATTTTAGAAGGGGTTTTGGGGTTTTGGGGTTTTGGGGTTTTGGGGTTTTGGGG